CCTGAGTGTAGAACCTGGGGTAAGCCCTAAGCATCCATCGCCAGTCTGACCCCAAAACAAAAGCCCCCCCAAAAATTTTTTTTAAAGTTAAGAAAATAAGGAATCCTGGGGCCAGAGCGATAGCACAGCAGGTAGGGCATTTGCCTTGCATGCGGCCAACCTGGGTTCGATCCCCAGAATCCCATATGGTCCCCTGAGCACCACCAGGAGTAATTCCTGAGTGCAGAGCCAGGAGTAACCCCTGAGCACCGCCAGGTGTGACCCAAAAAAAGCAAAAATAAATAAAAATAAGGAATTCTGTCGAAAAACTTAACTGAGGGGTCCAGAGACATAAGACAGCAGTTAGGCCTTGCACATAGCAAACCCAGGGTCAGTCCTCAGTACCACTTTCGGTATGGTTCCTGAGCAAAGAGCCAGGAGTGAATCCTGAGCACTGCTGTGGCCCAAATTACACTCTGTCTATCTGTCTCTGTCTCTCTGTCTCTGTCTGTCTGTCTGTCTGTCTGTCTCTCTCTCTCTCTCTCTCTCTCTCTCTCTCTCTCTCTCTCTCTCTCACACACACACACACACACACACACACACAGAGAAAATCTTATATACAACACACTCCCTTCCTGGAATGAGCTACAGGTCTGCACACTCCAAGGATTAGCTAATTTAGAGAAAGCAAAAATTTTTCTTCAGCACCTGGAGACACAAAACAATAAAATGCACCCCAAGGAGGCCAGAGAGATAGTATAGCTGGGAGGGTGCTTGCCTTGCACGTAGCTGACCTGGGTTCAATCCCCAGCATCTCATATGGTCCTCTGAAGGCCTGCTTTAGAAATGATCCCTGAGCACAGTCAGAGTAAGCCCTGAGCACGGCTGGGTATGGCCCCCAAGCCAAAAATAACTAAAACGCACCCCCCGAAGTAGGTGCTGAAGAGCTTTTGCTCTCGTAGGCTGCCCTCCCCCGACCCACTCCGTGTGTCTCATTCTGCTCCTGGCTGGGGAATTCTTCACTCTGAGACCCAGGGCCAGTCCCAGCCCCTCTCCCCTCACCCACTGCCTTCAGAGAACAATTTCACGTTTGCCCTCGGAGTGCTGCCTGGGGTAGCCTGGAGCATCCTGAAGGCAGGTGAAGGGGCTGGGAGGAGATGGAAACTGGAGGGGCGCAGGGATGGGGGCCACGGAGGGCAGCTGCCAGGGCTGGAGAGGGGTTTGCCGCTGCTGCTCAGGCCTTCTGGAGCTGAGATCCACTTTTTAAAAAATTATTTCTCGTTGCTCTTGTTTTCAAGAAGTGAATTTGGATTTTGTTATAAAAATTGATTAAAAACACATTTTTGGAAAAAAACAAAACAAAACAGAGAACAGAGAGCAACTTGGAGAGCAAAAACAGTCTTGGAGGGGCAGGAAGTGGGCCTGTGCATGTGTAGTTGGCCCAGCAGGGCCCTGGGCCACGGTAGGGACAGCTGGACCCAGAGCCCAGTGGGTGGGACCCGGCATAGGGTGGGGGTAGGGAGGCTCCCAACACAGAAGCACTGACTTGGCGCTGAGATGGCCAATCAGGGCTGCCGAGGTGGTCCAGTACTCCCCTGCGACTCACCTTCTTCATCTGTAAAATGGTCCGAGTCCTTTCGGTGCTCTCAGCCAATTCAATTGTTAGGTGTAGAAAAGCATTTGCGGGGCTGGATTGATAGCACAGCGAGTAGGGCATTTGCCTTGCACGCAGACAACCCGGGTTCACATCCCATATGATCCCCCGAGCACCGCCAGGAGTAATTCCTGAGTGCAGAGCCAGGAGTAACCCTTGTGCATTGCCGGGTGTGACCCAAAAAGTGAAAAAAAAAAAAGAAAAAGAAAAACATTTGCCAGGGTGGAGAAAGCACAGGGGAACCATTTGTATTACACACATCCAGGCTCATTCCTGGCACCACACGTGGTCCCTGGGCGCCTCACAGAGCCAGGAGTAAGCAAGCCCTGAGTGCCACTGGGTGTGGCACCCAAGCCAGAAGGCTTTTTTTTTTTTTTTTAGCTTTTTTGGGTCACACCCGGCAATGCACAGGGGTTACTCCTGGCTCATGCACTCAGGAATTGCTCCTGGCGGTGCTCAGGGGACCATATGGGATGCTGGGAATCAAACCCCGGTGAGCCACGTGCAGGGCAAACTCCCTTCCCGCTGTGCTATGGCTCAAGCCCCAGGCTTTTGTTTTCAATTTTGGTTTTGGCCTATATTCAGCAATTCTCAGGGCTGACTCCTGGCTCTGCACTCAGGAGTCACTCCCGGCCGGAGACCATAGGTATCAGGGATTGAACCCGGGTCAGCTGACTGCCTGCAAGGCAAACACCCTCCCAACTTGCTATGGTTCCAGCTCTCTGCGTGGAGAGGTCTTGCCTTGCATGTACGAAGTCCTGGGTTTGACTCCAAACTGCCACAAAATAAAGAAAAAGAAAAGCTAAGGTTTGACACGAGTTTATGGCAGACGAGGAGCAAACAGGAGAAGATGCCTGCATTCATTCACTCACTCATTTGTTCAATGAGCATCACTGCTTCACTGGCAATTACACACAGGTCAGGACCCACTCCAGGGAACTGCAGAACTGCCTGGAAGCAAACCATGTGAACAGAGGGCTGGTCATGAGGAGCCCTGGTCAGATCCACAGCACAGAGCCAGGAGCAGCCCCTGGACATGGCTGGGTAGACTACCCGCCCCCCAACAAAATAAGCAACGTGAAAAGCACCTGGGCAGATGATGGATGCCCTGAAGGATCAAAAGGGTGAGGAACAAGGGACATCGGAGTAAGCAGTTGGCCTGCGGAGTGTGGAAAGCTAAGAGAGGAGGGAAGCAGGCAGAGGGGACACAGGACACAGGGACGCGGGATCCCTGGGAGCCTCCTCCTGCGGCTGAAGGGCCTAGCTGGTAACTGGCGCGTCTGAGCATTGCTAGGCTGGTGGAAGCCTCTGGAAGGTCTGAGAGGCTGCGGTGCTGTGGCGGGATGCGATTAGGGCTTGTGAGGGTGCTCTGGGTGACAACTGGCCTAAGGATGCGAAGGGGAAGGAGAGACTGAAAGGTTCAGGTGTCTGTGTTGGGGTAGGGGAAGGGTGAGGCTTTGGCCTGGGGCTGCTGTTCGGGACTCCTGGCATAGGGCTGAGGCTCTCATGGCCCTGGTTGTGGGGGATGGTGAGAAACAGGGTCTGGGGATATCACAAGACTGGGGCTGCAGGCCCAGAGCAAAGGGCTAGTCGGGAGGACTCGAGGAGGCTGGGGTCATTGGGCGGCCATGGGGAATGAGGATCCTGGATGCCGGAGGCAGGGGTGGGGGCACCTCGGGCCACAGCACCTGTGACGCCTGCATGAGGGCGTGGAGGTGATGAGGGCACCAGGAATTTCCTTCTGGTTCTGAGGTTCACCTGGGCTTTCAGAGGCACGAGGTGTGAGTACCCAGTGCCCACAGGGCCTGGCAGCGGGAGCTGGAAAACTGGCCAAGGGGGTTTCAGCAGAAACAGCCCCCAGGAAGGCCAGAGTGATAGGACAGCGGGTAGGGTACTTGCCTAGCACGCGCTGAACTGGATTTTATCCCTATATTTCATATGTCATAGGGTCCCCCAAGCACCTCCAGGAGTAATTCCTGAGTGCAGAGCCTGGAGTAACCCCTGAAGATCACCAGGTGTGACCCAAAAACCAGAAAGAGAAAAAAAATACAAACCCAAAACAAAACCAGCCTAGGGGCTGGAGAGATGGCACAGCGGGTAGGGCGTTTGCCTTGCACGCGGTTGCCTTGCACGCGGCCGACCCGTGTTCGATTCCCAGCATCCCATATGGTCCCCTGACCACCGCCAGGAGTAACTCCTGAGTGCAGAGCCAGGAGTAACCCTTGTGCATCGCCAGGTGGGACCCAAAAAGAAAAAAAACAAAAAAAAAAAAACAAAAAAAACCCCAACAAAACCAGCCTGCAGGACCCAGTTGGTGAGTCCTGCCTTTGAGCTGGAGTGGGGCCAACCATACCTCCAGGCCATACTAGAAAAGTTCCAGAAAAGCTGGTTTGGCAGTTGGCAAGTGACTGTTCTGGCTTCCCAACAAGAAAGCAGGATTTGGCCCAGAGGGTGCAGAAGGCCGTGGGGGTGGAGGGACCTTGATGGGAACTGGGAGTGGTCCTTGCCAGGTAAATACTCAAAGTCAGGGACTCCCCTCCCCCACCCCCAGCCTGGAATCCCGCCTCTGACCACTCAGGGCCGGGCTAGGCTGAGTGGCTAGTTTGAGTGGCTACTGAGTCGGGGGCCAGTGTCCCTGGTGGTCCACATCGGTCCTGCCTCTCCCTGGGCCCTGGGGAGAAGCTCCTTGGCTGTCCTCGTACTCCACTAATGGGCACCCCACACTAAGAGCTGTTCCCTTGTCTTCAGCACGCCCACCTTGGAGTTGAGGTGGGTGGGGCTGGCTGGCCAGGGACAAAGGCTGAGTCACTGACCGTGACTGCTTTCTGGGCAGTTGAGCACGTTGTCCCCACTCAGAGGATCCCTTGGAACTGGGTGTCTGGGTCATGGGACAGAGGTGGGAGGATGACCTCACAATTGCTGGCTCTGCCCACAAGGAAACTGGAAGTGCTTCCAAGAGGAAAGAGGAAGTGAGTCGCCCCCGGGCAGCTCCATGCTGAAGAGGCTGGCAGAAACCCAGGCTGGTTGCTGAGGTCACTCTCTGGCACAGTGACTCCTGGAATGGGCATTCTGGAGCCCAGCATGGGTATAGTTGGGTGGAGGTGAGGGTGGCAAGTGGTCACTGTCCTGAATCTTCCTTGTGTCCTCCTTGGCCCTGAGCTGCAGGGCAGATGTGTCTGTAGCAGAGACAGCGGCGCGACACAGGACAGACTGTACAGGGGTTAAGGTGTGTGCCTTGTATGTGCCCAACCTGGGTTCAATCCCTGGCACCCCACAGGGTCCCCTGAGCCCCACCAAGAATGCGGAGTCAGGAGTAAGCCCTGAGCACTGCTGGATGTGACCCCAAAACAAAATAAAAACCAAAAGACAGATTCCTGATGTTTATAGTTCTCCGAACATTTAAATGTGCAAACATTTATAGGCCCTCAAAGCTCTGGGAGAACACCCGAGCCTCCCACGCTGTCTGCCGGCCATCTGCCCAGCTGCTCCGGGTCCCCAAGCTCAGACTCTCAGGCCTGAAGAAGGTGCCGCCAACGCCTGAACATGGCTCCCTGATGGAGAAGGCGGGTCAGGCCCTCAGCATCCTCACGCCTCGCCCAGGACCCCGCAGACTCCAGCACAAGACAGCTCAGGGGCTGCTTCGCGCCAGCCCGACCCTGTGAGCACGGAGCTGGGGCCGGGTGCTCCCCAGGAGGTGGGACCCAGTGGCTCTGCCAGAGGTTTTGACACCATCAGCTGCTGGCATGTCACCCAGGCCCCATGGGAGGAGGGGACAGTGCTTCTCTGGCACTGCTCCTGACCAGTGCTCAGGCTGCAGGACAATGCTGGTCCAAGGTAGCTCCCATGGTAGAGGTCTGGGGAGGGGACATGCGTGGTGGGTGCGTGCTGCCCCCCGCCCAGGCAGCCAGGCCCCCCACATCTGCAGTGGCCATGAGTCAAGGAGATGGACAGGGCTGCACATGTGAGGCCCCGGCAGGTGCCTGCGGGTGGGTGTTGGGGCCCCCGCAGCCCGCCCAGGGACAGATGTGGGGTGCAGGGTCCCAGGCACAAGCAGTCCCACTTCCGGGGCGGGGCTGATGTGGCAAGGATGGCGGGGGACTCTAGCCCTCAGACGAACTGTGACAGGTTGGGGACCTTGATGTTGAGGTCCCCAATGTTGAGGTTGCGGGGAATCTCAGGCAGGTTGATGCTCTTCACGGCCGACACGGCACGCGCTGGTGCTGCAGAGAGGCCGCCCTGTGTGGGGAGGGGAGGAGGGGAAAATGTTAATTTTTTAAAAAGGGGAGGGGAGGGGAGGGGAGGGGAGAGGGGAGCTGAGGGGAGAGGGCAGGGGACAGGAGAGGCCCGGCCCATGCCACGCTTCCTTCCGCCTCCAACTGGCTACCTATGGGCAGATAGCCTGGGAAATGCCTGAGCTGCTCAAGGGGGGGGGCTGGTGCCACCCCCCAAGGGCACCGGAGATGCTCAGGAACGCTGGGAACTCCCTGAGGCCAGTTAGGCGGCCCGAGCACCCAGGTCTCTAACTCTCGGGGACTGGGGTGCCATAAGCCGCACGCGCCCAGGGACTGGCCCTCGCCACGCACCTCAGCTTTCTCCAGCCGGTTCTGCGCCTCCATCTGCGCCACGATCTCGTTCATGTTGGTCTCCAGCACCATCCCCCCCATGACCACCTCCTGCAGGATGTAGTGCACCTGGAGGGGGAAAGGGCGGAGGGAAGGGCACTCCGGGCACTGGGGGATGGCCCTGAGCACACCCCGCCAGCTGCTCGCTCCACGGCTCCCGGGCACCCAGTGTCCTGCAGGTAGGTGAAGCACTGAGCCCACCTCCACACCCAGAGCCCGGCCTGGGCAGCAGGCGGAGCTGAGGTTCCACGTGACTCTGGGCCCTCAGATGCAAACTGCTTCCTTCCTTCCAGGCTGGTGGCAAGCACCCTACCCACTGTAATATCTCTCTGGCCCCTGATGTTTCTTTTTCTTTCCCCCCCACATGTAGCAGTGCTCAGGGCTTACTTACTCCTCCCTCTGTGCTCAGATATTACTCCAGGGAGTTTTGGAGATCAAATCCCAGTCGGCTATGTGCAAGGCAATCGTCCTATCCACTGTACTATTACTCTGGCCCTGTCCCCATGGCTTCTGATTATAATTTATTTTATCATTATTTATTATTAATTTTTGCTTTTGTGGGTCTCAGCGGGTGATTCTCAGGGGTTACTACTGGCTTTGCACTCAGGAAATTAGTCCTGGTGGGTTTGGGGGACCATATGGTATGCCAGGGATCAACCCAGGTCAGCTGCATGCAAGGCGAATGGCCTCTCTGCTGTATTATCTACCGCTCCAGCCCCTGAAGTCAAATTTTATTTTTTATTTATTTTTTTATAGTTTATTTCTTTATTGAATCACTGTGGGAAAAGTTACAGAGCTTTAGGGTTTAGGTCTCAGTCATGTAAGTATCAAACACATTTCCCTTTACCAATACTTATTTTTAACCGTGAACCCCAATAGAACCCCACCTCCCACCCCTCCCAATTCCTGTGAGGCAGATGAGTTCTAGTTAATACTCTATCTACTTTGCTGAAGTCAAATTTTAAATCTCATTCAAAATGTACATAAAAGGAGAGGTCAATAAAAGCATAAACTCTACTCTCAGTAGAATGACAAGATACTCTGCGGTCCAGACCTGAGGGAGGATGAGCTGTCAGGCTGGGAGTTCAGAGCAGGAGAGGAAGAAAGGTGCCTTGAGGGTCATGGTCACAGAAGTGCACTTCCTGGGGGGCAGAGATATCCCAGGGACCCAGCAAGTCTGTTTTCCCAAAGCAGCCCCTTCCCTGGACCTGGTACGAGGGCTCAATCACACACACACACTCTCTCTCTCTCTCCCTCTCTTTTTCTCTCAAACACGCACACACTCACATACACATAGTCACACACATATAAACACATATGTGCACATACACACATATGAAGGTATGCACACATACACGCACACACATGCATGCACACTCACACAATTCATTCTCACACATGTACACTCTCACGCACACACATGTACACACATGTGCACACATATGCAGGTATGCACGCATACACACTTTCACGCATATGCACACACACACTCTCATATGCACAAAAAACGCATACACGAACACACAGGTGCACAGACACATACACAGGCAAGCATGTATGCACACGCACGAACACACAGACACACAGACACACAGACACACACACACACACACACACACACACAGAAGCACCTGCCATATTTGCAGTCCAGAGTTGGTGTCTGTGGCAGTGGAGCAACTATATATAGAAACAACCAGAGAAGCATCAGGAAACAGGAAGCCCAAAGACAGATGCGGAAATTGCTGGATACCCCCCACCCCCTACGGAGTAGATAAAGATGTGAAAAGGAAAAGAGGTAAGGAACGCAGAGCACTCAAAAGCCAGTGCCCCTGCTTCATACTGGGAGGCATAAATTCCCCCTCCAGCACCACAGGCGCTGCTGGCTGTGACCCACAGAGAAACAAACAAAACCCAGCCACAGGGAAAACATGGCAAACAGGAAGCAGAAGCAGGACAGGAAAGATGCGAGACTTTGTGGGAGAAGACCGCGCGCGGGTGCGGTTCATGAAGGGAGACACGGAGATCAGGGCGGACAGGAAGGAGAGAGGGACAGTTGGGCACAATGGACAAACAGATGCAGCAAGTCAGCCGGAGCCCAGAAGGCACGAAGAGAGCTGGAGAGAAGGGGAGAGGGAGACAGAGGGGAGGGTATCTGCATCAGAGTCAGGCACATCACTGCCAGGCCGCAAAGACCCACTCACAGAGGCCACAGGAAGGCACATTCGAGGTGTTTCTGAAATAAGAGGGTTCCCCATACCAAAAGGGCGCGCTGGATGCTGGAAAAACAGCCCTTGTTAGCATCAAAATAGCCTCTGTCAACACCACGGTGGGCCTTTCAGTCAGGCTTCTGGGGTTTAGCAACTAGACTAGAAGACCAAGCAAGGGGGGCTGGAGCAAGAGCACAGCGGGGAGGGCGCTGGCCTTGCAGGAGCCGCCTCAAGTGTAATCCCCAGCATCCCACAGGGTCCCTGGAGCACCACCAGGAGTGATCCCTGAGTGCAGAGCCAGGAGTACAGGAGGCCAAATCTGGAAACATTTCACCAGGGAATTCAGCGTGAGCAGGAAAAGGAGCAACATCTGTAACGTTCTCAGGGAGAGCAAGCTGACCGAGGATTTTATATCTCCAGCAGATGAAAGATTAGCCCAGAATGGGGACAATTGTTTGCCTTCTGAAGGAAACACACGAAACAGCATCCTGCCAACCTCGGGGCTACGGAATGCGGTGAGCAGAAGGATAAGGAGAACGAATGAGAGTGACAGAAAAGGCAGGATAAGCGCAGTGACCAGGCCAGAAAAGATCAGCCCGCAAAGAAGAGGCGAGGAAGGAAGGAAGAGGGAGAGGAGGGCAGGTAAGGGTGCTGCCCTTCCTCGTCCTTGCCAACAGAGCCAACGGATACCACCAAAAGGGCGGCTCTCACAAGACTGAGCAGGACTTTGGGGGAGGGGACTCACCTGGGGACTCACCCTGGCTTGGAGCCTGAGGACTGTTCTGGGCGTGCTCGGGGATCAAGTGGTACCAAGGCACCAGCAGGCAAAACATGCCCTCTAGCCCTCCGGCGACCTCCCAGCCCAGCCATTACTTTCACTGTGACTTATCCATGCCCCGCACCCTAATCAAGCCCACAATTTACGCGAGTCACCAAATTTCTGACATAAGGGCAACTAGTTCTTTTCTGCCGGAAAGAATCCAATGCCATTTTTCTTCTTTAAAAAGGACACACAGGGGGACGAAGAGATAGCACAGCGGGTAGGGCGTTTGCCTTGCACGTGGCCGGCCCGGGTTCAATTTCCAGCATCCCATATGGTCCCCTGAGCACCATGAGGAGTAACTCCTGAGTGCAGAGCCAGGAGTAACCCCTGTGCATCGCCAGGTGGGACCCAAAAAGCAAAATAAATAAATAAATAAATAAAAAAGGACACACAATGCATCATCAACAATGTCCAGTTTCTCTTATGAGGAGGAAGAACACAGTGAGGAGAAAATTCTGGATGTTTTTTGGTGGGTGGTGCCCCACACTCAATGGTACCCAGATACCAGGCAGTGCGGTGACCAAACCTGGAACTGCAGTCCACTGACTGACTCCCCTCCCTGGCCTCGAAAATCGAATTTTTTTTTATTATTTTTTTTTAGAGGGAAATATATATGTATTTTTTTTAAACACCATGAGGTACAGTTATAGACTTACAAATTTTGTGCTTGGGTTTCAGTTATACAATGATCAAATACCCATCCCTCCACCAGTGTCCATCATCCACCACCACAGGTCCCATCATCCCTCCCTACCCCCCATCCCCCGTCCCACCCTGCCTCTGTGGCAGGGTATTCCCCCTTGTTCTCTCTCTCTTCTTTTGGGTACTGTGTTTTGCAAGAGAGGTATTGAGTGGCAATCATGTTTGGTCTATAGACTACTTTTAGCATGCTTCTCCCACCCTGGGAGGGTCCTCACAACACCCTTTATTTGGTGCTCTCTTCTCTATCTGAGCCTCCTTTTCACCTAGCACATGTGGCTGGCCTTCCAGTCATGGAGCAAAATTCCTGGTACTAATCTCAGCCATTCAAGGGTGTTAGTCTCCCTTTTTGTTGCTTTATGTTCCCCAGATGAATGCAATCTTTCTGTGTCTATCCCGCTCTTTCTGACTCATTTCGCTTTAACCTGATACTTTCCATGTAGTGCCACTTGTATGTAAATTTCATAACTTCATCTTTTCTAACAGCTACATAGTACTCCATTGTGTAAATGTACCAAAGTTTCTTTAACCAGTCATCTGCTCTTGGGCACTCAGGTTTTTTCCAGATTCTGGCTATTGTAAAGAGTGCTGCAATGAACAAACAATTGCAGATGTCACTCCGACTATACCTTTTTACCTCTCTGGGATATATTCCCAGGAGTGCTATAGCTGGGTCAAATGGGAGATCAAATTCTAATTTTTTGAGAATCGTCCATACTGTTTTCCAAAAGGGTTGGACCAGCCGGCATTCCCACCAGCAGCGAAGGAGGGTCCCTTTCTCGTCACATCCGCGCCAGCATTGGTTGCTTTTGTTCTTGTGGATGTGGGCCAGTCTCTGTGGTGTGAAATGATATCTCATTGTGGTTTTGATCTGCATCTCTCTGATGATTAGTGATGTAGAGCATTTTCTCATGTGCCTTTTTGCCATTCGGATTTCTTCTTTGCGAAAGTTTCTGTTCATTTCCTCGCCCCATTTTTTGATGGGGTTGGGTGATTTCTTCTTGTGGAGTTTAACCAGTACCTTGTATATCCTTGATATCAACCCCTTGTCGGATGTGTATTTGGTGAATATCCTTTCCCATTCTGTAGGCTCTCTTTGTATTTTGGTCACTATTTCTTTTGAGGTGCAGAAGCTTCTTAGTTTAAGATAGTCCCATTTGTCTATCTCTGTTTTCACTTGCTCGGCCAGTGGCGTGACATCTTTGAAGATACCATTAGCTTCAATATCATGGAGAGTTTTGCCAACTTTGTCTTCAATAAACATTATGGATTCTGGTCTGATGTTGAGGTCATAAATCCATTTTGATCTTACTTTTGTGCATGGTGTTAGGCAGAGATCT